CCATGGCTGGCTGGGGAATTCTGGGAGTTGAAATCCACTCATCTTAAAGTGGCCAAGTTTGGACAACACTGCCCTAAACGATTGCCATCTTCCCAGCTGGACTAAGGATTTATTAAATCCAAGGATCTCAATTTTGGACTCATAGCAGAATTTTCAAATACAAACCTGGAGGATCATTGGCTGAGGATTGAATCCCAGGCCTAAAGCACGCACAAAATATTACAATGCTGGCAATTCTGCCCCCCCCCCACCAACTCCCGGACAAATTCCTGAAAAGATGTCAAAAAGTTATTAGCTTACTTTTAAAAGTGCCTTTCCTCCAAGGAATCCAAGATGGCATGGAGGGATTTCTCTCACATTTCTAATCTCTCAAGAATTCTGTGAAGTAAGTTAGAGTGAGAGATAGCTGTGCAATGTAAACATCTGATCACATTAAACTGTGGCTTGTTTTATCTTGGATTCTTGAATCAATCACAGCTGAGATTACATAACATGCTAAAGTATAACCTCTGGTTTACAAATCACAACAGTTGGATTAACATAGTATGCTAAGATAGGTGTCTGGTACAAGCCATGATGGCATCATTTGTGTGATATGATGCACATGATGTCACCAGCCTACTCCTCCCCATCCAGCACCCATGTATACTAAGCCAGAGCAAACTAAATTATAGGTTAGCTGAATATATGAATCCAGTGAACAGCTACCCAGAGTCACTCTAGTGAGCATCAATGGCTGAGCAGAATATTAGAATCTGGCTCTCCTTTACCATAGCCTGAGAGCCTAATAACCATATCTTCATGACTCCCTTTAATTGTTCATCCATCCATTATTTATTCTAGGACCTGGTGTCAATTACTCTGGATGTCAAATAACATGGGCCAAGTTCTGCAAGGTAAGGACTTTGAGAAGCGAGATGTATGATTGGGACCTAGAACATATCTACCAGTTTTACCGTATTTTTCCGACTATAAGACGATACTTTTTTCTAAAATCCTTACGCTAAAAATT